CCCCCCCCCCCCCCCCCCCCCCCCTTATCTCTCTCTCTCACTAGCTAGCTATTTCTGGGAGTTACTTCTCCAAAGTAAGGATGTAAGAGAATTAAATCACAAATTCTAGAGGAATCCACAGTGGGAAAAATGCTAGTCATAAACAAAAGACCCCATGGCTACCTGTGGTGGGGGCAAGTGATGGAAAGGGCACGATGACATCTTTTGTGCCATGGCATACCTGACATCATTGTGGCTTGTACTAAACCCCCATGCTAGTTGTATCTTTCTATTCCAACAAGAAACCTATCATTTGTCCTTCAACCACACACTGTGGAACTCTGGAGGGGAATCTGGTACTCCCGACTGTAGTCTTTGCTCTCTGCAAACAGTTCAATGGCCCTGTAAGTGCATGAGCTTTGTAAAGGTTAAACAGCAATTAAAAAAAGTAAAAACAATTCTCACCTAACTCATCTGATCCGGCAACTTTTTCCCCTAGGTAATACAACTCCACTTTCCTCCTCACATCTATAATGTGGGTTGTGGTTGTGACAAGCCGAGTCACCTAATGAGCTTCCGCGGCTGAGGGTAGATTTGATATTAAGTTTTTCTAGGGCTAGTTCAGCATTGTATAATGCTGGAAGCGAAGTAGGAACTTTCTTTCTCTTTACTAAATGAGTTTTGCCAAAAATAATACAACACACAGGCAAGGAAAGCTTTTAACAGAAATTACAAGGGAAATGAACTTACAATAGCACCATCCAGTCCAGGAAGACCTCCTTCTCCCTAAATAATAATGTAACAACAGTCAGCACCTTAGATGAAACATAAATTAGATTGGCAGGGAAATGCGGTTATATAAAATGTTTGGTTGTTTAAAAAAAAGGTTCACAAAATGCAAACTACACAAGTTACTTTTGTGCCAGCCTCAGCTAAACCATCCCATCCCAAGATGGGGGGGGGGGGAGTGTAAAAAACCCAGTTGTATACTATGGTGGGAGAGAGAGGGCTTCCCAGTCAAAGACTTAAACCCAACCTGTGTAGCTATTTACTAGAATGTCTTGATTTTGGACTTAGTTAGTACAGAGTAACTGTTCACAGCCCAAATGTTGGCAGCAAAAACTATTTGATTGAAAATGAATGAAGAACATCAAAAAAATCCTCAAGCTGGATCAGGCGAAAGGCCCAATTAGCCTGGCATTCTGTGTCCCACCAGCAGCCAACAAGATGCATCTGAGCAACTTCCAACTTGACTAGGAAGTTGGCTGTTTTCTTCCACTGATGCTCTCCAGCAGCTGGCATTCAAGGGGTGTATGAATAATTTATCTATGTGTTGTATAAAAAAGAGTGGGTCCATTTATCAGGCATATTTTTTTTCAATTCTTAGCTTCAGTGGTTGATCTGGAGTTCTAATAATCACGTTTATTTCATTATGGTCAATGACCAGCAAGGAGTTCTAACATTTTTACAGTGTAGGCAATTCCTCAAACGCAGGCATAAATCTTTCTGAAACTGTCTTCCTTCCAAAATAAAATTAAACATTTAATTGCTTAGAGGTGTCTCCTGCTACAGTTCCTTTGTCTGGACATTTCTTACCTTCACTCCTTTAAAAATTCCTGGGGCAAAAACAGGTTCACCTTTTGCGCCTTTTGGACCAAGATGACCCTGGTTACAGAAATTAAGAAAACAAAAACATACTCTTTAGCAAAAAAAAAAAAAAGAGGGTCAATCTGAGTCAACTCAAAGCTTAGTTGTCTTGAAGCTAAAGCTAAAAATCAAAGAAATGCAGGTAGAATTCATTTATCCCCTTGTATTCTACACATTCTATTACAGCCATGATGGGTGAACTGTTGGAAAGCCAGAAGGACCAGATTGGGGATAGATTGTCTTGGAGAAAATCTATCTATGTGATTGCTATGAGTTGACACCAACATGATGGCACATAATCAATCAATCAATCAATTCTATACACATCAAAGTCTTTATATACCACCAATCTCTTTCTTGGAAGGCCATCATGGTATTGTCTCTCTGAAGATATGCTAAGCTACATACATTACTAAATATCCCACACTAGTTTATAGTTCACACAACATTCTGCCACAATATGCCCTGAATTTGGGATAGCCTGTGGCTTAAATCCAGCTATTGTGGTCTATAAACCATAAAGCATGGCTTAGAATACTGCTGTTTATTTATGGTTAGATTATGGCTTGCTGTAATGCATAAATCTAGCCACTGCCATAGTATGACTTCCCCATAAGGTCATCCAATGGCCTCTTTGATGCATCTCTACATAACCATCTACCTCCCAAGGCAAGAAAGAGCTGATGTGACGTGATGTGGATTTGGGACTTTCTCCTTGGCTGTTAAAAAGGGAAAGAAGTGGACCCCCCCCCATATCTTTCCCCCACTTTATTCTAGAAACAGTTACAAGGAAAGCTGTCTTAAAAACCATTCATAAGATATCATGTCCAGACCTCTTTCCCAACCATCAATCTCAACCTAGGACAAAGACTACATCAAGAAATACCTTCGGTCCCTGTGGACCAGGGAATCCATCTGATCCAGAAGCACCAGGACTCCCAATGGTGCCATTACAGCCATCCAAACCAGGAAGACCTCTGGATCCTGGCTGGCCAGGGTGTCCCTGTTCAAGGGTAAAAAAGAAGCAGCAAACATTAGCATTTCTTAATCACACTTCCTATTTTTTTAAGAACGTATGGTAATGTAAACAGTGGCCTCAAAGGAAATTCATTTGCATTTGCATACCTAAACCTGATAACTCCACATGTATGTTTTTTACACATTTACTCCATATGTATGCTTTGTACATTTACTCAGCTACATACGAGTAAAGATTTATTGTGTTTCTAAGTCCTGTAAGGTTGATGTATGAGCCTAGTCAACCGCCAAGGTTGCAACAACTCCAAAGGTGTTTTTTCTCCATCAGATACCAACGACCTTATTCAAGTATTTAGGGCACTCGGACTGTTCTTTATCCTTCCAAATGTCATCATCATCACTGAGAAAAAAAAAAAGCTAAAATAATTTCTAATCAGTTCCTCACTTTTTAAAGAATGCACGGTAATGTAAATAGTTACGGCAAAGTAAATTTATTTATATTTGCATACCTGAACCTGATAACTCCACATGTTGGATTATTGAGACGCTCAATCAGTTTTGAGGCTATGATGTGATCATACTGAAAATTCACAAAATCACACTCTCATCAACTCTTCCTAACAAACGGTTGTCAGACAATTTGTACACGGATTGAACAGACTGCTGTGCTTACATCTCTATGCACTTTTCCACACTCTGTGAAACTAGAACAGCAGATGGCAGCAGAAATAGCTTTCCAAGAGCTAGCTAATACTGTGGCTTTGAGTTCTGAATATAAAACAAAATGAGGAAGGAAGGGTGTGTGTGTGAAAAATGTGGCTAATGTTTAAACTGCGTCTGCATGGGTTAGAGTTTTTGATAGCATTTTTCCAAGAGACAGGTTAGTCTTTGGCCACCTTACAAGAGCAAGGGGATCTGTGGCAACTTGAATTCCCTTCAGTGCATCAAAACATTTGGGGATCAAGCCCACTGCATTAGAGGAATGTAAGTCCCTGTAAGAGTTTATACACTCATACAGTTTTTGGGGATGAGAGAAAAAAGAGGAAGAATAAAGGAAGGAGAGGTGAAACTGGGTGGAATGATTTTGATTATCACATGGTATAGAAACAAAATAGCTTCAGTAGTGGACTTTGTCATACATAACACTGTGGTATGTCTTAGGTGACTCAGGGGAGTCCTCTTCAGATATGTAAATGGGTCCTGTCAAGTGCAGGAGTGTTAGCTAACCGCCTTCCCCTCCTCCAGTTATGCACTGGTATCTTCAACGCATCAGTTGCTAAAGAATGTAGCACCTAAACACAAGAACAGAAGACTGAGTGAACAGGGGTGTCTTCCATTGAGGATGAAGACTTCAGTGCGATGGGCTTCTAATAAGAACACTGAGGACAGCATGCTTAGAATTTAACAGCTGAGAACATACACAAGATTTAAGGAACAGGAATTCCAGTGAGAACAGGACAATGGAGACTCAGAAGAAACAACAGATGTGGGACTATTCAAGAATTCTCACTTTGCACGCTTTACACATTTGCTCAGTTATAGAAACTGCAGGGATTTATAGTGTTTCTAAGTACTGTAAGGTTGATGTATGAGCCCAGTCGACCCCCAAGGTTGCAATAACTCCAAAGGTATTCTTTCTCCATTAGATGCCAACAAACTTATCCAAATATTTAGGGCACTCTGACTGTTCTTTATCCTTCAAAATGTCATCATCATCATAAAAAAAGTTAGGAACATTTCACCCAAAGAGGGTTTTCATGTAAGGAGCTTAAATTGGTGGATCCATCCGTTTAGGTAACAACCTCAGTATGAAAATCCAGAGGATGAATGTCATCAGCACAAATCCATATCTTTAACTGTAGTGGCACAGTGCCAGTCCTGAAACTGAAGTCATTTTAATGCCAAGCAACGTCAATGCCCACACCAATTCCACGATCAACATCTCACAGCTTAGCTACTGTATATAGGTAATATGCAAATAACTTCTGTTGCAGGTGAAAGAATACACAACCTGTACTGAAAGGATCTTCAGATCTGGGCTGGAAATGACATCATCTTCAGCAAGAATGAGAGAGTTAAAGAAGAAAACAGGAAGAATATTGGAAAAGTAGCACTCCTGAGTCCTAGAGACTAGAAATTGTGTTATAGTCCTGGCTGACATGCTACATTGTCCTATCTAAATTCACTTATCTAGTGTGACTGGTATTTCTCAATATACTGTATCTAAAGGCACTTGGTAGATGTTATAACAGCATTGGAGAAGGGGACACTGCACACATTTGACAAGACAGGATACTGTATGGAGGTGCAACCAAGAACACTTGCTTTTGGGAAGGAGTAATAGTGCCCTGCTAGAGGACATACTTGCCAGAAAAAGATCCCAGGTTAATTCTTGGGAATTCTAGTTGAAAAAGATCTCGGGTGACATCAGTAGGAGCTTGGACAGTCCATATCGCAAGGAGTAGAGAAAACAGTTACTACAACCAGTGGATTCTGTAGAACAGTGTTGTCCAAACTTGGCCACTTTAAGATGAGTGGACTTCAACTCCCAGAATTCCCCAAAGCAAACATGCTGGCTGGGGAATTCTGGGAGTTGAAGTCCACTCATCTTAAAGTGGCCAAGTTTGGACAACACTGCTGTAGAAGGAAGGCTGCTTCAAGTGTTCAGTGCTGCTTGCAAAGCCATGTGCTCCTCAAACCAAAGTGATTTTGTTTCTCAGCCATCATACAGATGCATATAATGTCCACTATATCGATAGTAGTTTATGTGATGATGATGGACCTACATGCTTGGTGATGCCCAACAAGCTCTTGATTTTTAAAAGATTTTTCTAATTAAAAATAAATAGTAGAAAATAATAAAATGGAAACTGTTCAGCTACCAAGTCTCAGTCTCCAGCATCATACTCACCATGGGAAGTACCGCATGGCATGCACTGAATATTCCCACATATGCCCACCACTTTAAAATATGGTTGTACCACTTTTAAAAATATAAGCCCGAAAGGCATTCCTTTGGCTGTGCAATTAATGTGCAACTCAACAAGCATTGCCAAAAAAGGATGATGACAATGATGACGACGATGATGATGATGATAGGGAGGGAAGGAAGGAAGGACGGACTGCAGAAACTTAAAACAGTCATTGTAATGTCTTTAAAATTTTTATCTGTCTGAAAAATCAGGACTTGGCCCCACCCCCATGTAGAATGCAATCCTTGCATGCCACCCCAAGTTAGGGTGGCCCTTGAACTGACAGATGTTGTGCACCCCGCTGAAGAGTCAATCCTATAAAGGGAAAAATGTAAATATATTGTAAATCTCTGTAGTAATTCCTTGTTTGGGGCTTGGTAGTAAAGTATCTTATGTCAACATACCATCTTCTAATAAAACGTAAGTGCTGGCCCACAACAACTCAAAGCAAACATATGCAATTCTTTAAACATTTATTTATGTGTTTAGTTTTATAGCCAGAAGGTTGCAGATATCTCCTGGGGACAAGCTAATCCAGGAGAAATGAGAATGTCATGGGTTTGTAAAGGAAATCCAGCAGCCCCAAACCCAAGCAGATGATCAGATAAGATAACGGAAGGTTTATGGATGAAATGATCTTCTCCTTTCACATTTGTGTAAACATCCAGGAGCCACTTTTTTATACTTGAGTTTGGTATTCAGTGTTTCAGGGTGTACAGATCAGCGCTAGTTCTAAGACGATGTTACATCTCTCTTCATTCAATTCGGCCTGTTGGTACGATTTTCCAGGCTAAGAGCCACACTTGGCTCTTGAATGATGTACTGGGATCACACCCCCAAAAGTGAACTAAAGTGTCCTTTTAAAATGGAAAGTCAATACGGTTAACACGATCATGCTCCAGCCATGTCTCATTAATACTTGATTAATATGTATTTATTTCATGAATAATGAAAGAAAGCAGGGCTATGTTTCTATCCCTGAAGGTCAATGTGAAAGGGATCCGGTCTTCCATCTTAGGTTGCTCCCACACCTCCTACAGAGGATGCAAAACAGCCTAAGCTTTTCTTCATGGAGAATAGGTCTACTCTGTCATGCTTCCAAGACCTTTCAAGTTCACCCGAGCTACCAGCGCAGGAGATCTGCACAACTTTTCACAGTCATTCCCGGATCTAGAAATGATCCTAAAAATACCTGATCTCTGGGTCAAGAACTGCTTTGTGTCAAATTCCTGAGTTTCCTAACGGGAAAAAAAAAAATTACAAGCATTGAATGCCTAAACCAGTATTTCTCAACCTTGGCAACTCTAAGAGGTGTGGACTTCTACTCCCAGAATTCCCCAGCCAGCAAGGTTGGGGAATTCTGGGAGTTGAAGTCCACACCTCTTAGAGTTGCCAAGATTGAGAAACATTTGTCTAAACTGAACTGGTACATAATACTCTGCTGGGAAAAGAGCATAGAGATAACCTTATATCACATCTGAAAAAGGAAATGCTTTCTTTCAGGCTCCATGATGTCAAATACAATCAGAATCCTCTTCAAATGAAAGGCTCCTCCAGTTGAACCCCCATGTCCTACTTTTATTTCCTTGCCAGTGACCACCACTGAACAGGAAGTCACTATTTAGCTATGAAGCCAACAGCCTCCAGGGATTATCTAATTATCTCTGGAAACCACCTCAGCCAGTAGCCAATGCTGTATCTTCAACCACAGATTGCCATAATTTAACTGTGCAGTTGCGTATCAAGGCAATTCCACTGCTAATCCTACATCTATTTTCCAAGGCTGTCCTGGGCTACCACCCTCATTATTCTCTATTCAGGTTATATAGAGGGCCATAGAGATGACCTTGGAGTAACTACCCCATGGCAATTACAAAAACAAAGGCATGCATTAAGCCCGGGAAATAAAGAAAGAGCGAGAAAGAAGATCAGATTGGTTCTGCCCTAATTCACTAGGGTATAAGAGGGACAGAAGGGAAAACACAGTTAGGCTTTCAAAATTATGTTCCTAAAGTCTATTTCGATAAAATAGAAGAATTAGAATTCCAGAACAGAAGTCCAATGACCTGGACTACCTCAAAAGGCTTACAGTTGGCAATTAAATGCCCACTAGACTATTGCCAATAATGGTTGACAATAATGGGAGTTGTAACCAAGTATCCAAAGTTCTAGTACAATGGTAGAAGGAGATAAAATATAGTATTTTATTTCTAAAATTATCACCAACTTTATATATTTCTCTTTTGTCACTTCTTGGTATTTTCTTCCTCCCTGAAGCTAAAAGCCAGTGTTTCAATGTCTTCTGTTAGGGAAAGTATTTTAATCCCTTATGACAGGACACACATTTTTTTTTTCAGGCAAAGAACTGATTTGGCATCTGAGTGGTGTGTTGCATCCACTCCAAAAAAATGTGGGGCCAAAACTGAATTTAATTTACATTTGGTTAACTTTATATTAGGATGGTGAGGACTTTGATGGGTGAATTCCAAGAAATCGCAGGACTGCAAACCAGAATGGGGATGCCGGGGCATCTCAGAAGGAGGCAGTGATCCACCCCTTCCACACTGCAACTAAGAAAACCACACTGAGATGTCCTTGACATCACCAGGAATCAAGAATGATTGGAAGAAGACTTGCCCGTTGCCTGAAATTAATGAAACACCCTCATTGAAATGAATCCCTGTGTCTTCAATAACTTTATTCTTTTTGTCACATAAGCATGGATGGCAATTTCTGGAGGGCTTTTCTTGGCCAAACCAAGCCTCTTGGGAGCCTTCAAAGGCCGTGTCCTTTAAGATGATGCACCAGCTGTAATCTAAACTGAACACTCTGAAGCCAAAATCCTAGCTAAGAGCAAGCCCCTTTCCACTGAAGGAAACTTATTTCTAAGTAGACCCAAACAGGATGGACACAGTACTTAAGAAAGAGGGAAGTCAGCCTAATCGGAAGGCAGAGACTTGTGTATTAGGAGCATTAAAGGGGCCTCTTGAGAGAATGCCAGATCCTGCTTTTCAAACAGCCTGTGGTTTTGTTTGGTTTGCTTTTGAACCGTACACACATGAGCTGATAGAAGCCAGTCCATATGCTATCGCTCCCCGAAATGTTTCCATTTAACCAGCCTTGTATTTTCAGCTGAAACGCTATGACTTGTACATCTCAACTTCCAAACTTCTCAACCTCCTTCCGTGGGAAAAACTAAACATGCATCAGGATGGGGTGGGAGTTGGGGAGGAGGAATGAGAATGTGAAAGGCAGGTGGGGGGGGGGTGTCCTTCAGGCCCTTTCTCCAGTACATCTGTGGTTAATAAGCCATAAATACAGGGAGCGATGGCTGTTACAGCCAAGGTTTCCCCAGTCAGCTGTAGCAACATGAAATGAAGCCCATCTGTGGGCAGTTTCTTTGATAAGACCTATGGTGACCTGTTTCCCTTCCACCCACCCGTGTACAACCATCTTGAATGTTGAACAGGTTGGGCTCTTCTTGCCATGCCCACATCCACCCTGTGATAATTTACTCACTGCTTGGGGTGTCTCACCGGGTTACCCATTCCTGTAGCCTCTTTACTGCATAGCCAAGGCCTTTCACAGAACCTTTCGCTAAATCTGGGTTTCTCTGGGGTTTCAAAACTGCACGTTGAATTCATTCTGTTGCTGTGTTTTAGGCCACAGTTTTTGTCCTTAACTGTTATTTTGAAACAAAGCAACAGGGCTGGGGGTGGGTGAAA